GTTTATAAAGCAATGTTTTTCTCATGTCTGTTTTTTCTTTTTGCATATTGCCTATCTATCATACAAAGTAATATTAATTTTAAGATTCAAAATACTTTTATGCATCATAAAATTTTGAAATTTCACATTAGAAATCTTTATAATGTCGAGGGATAACTATCAAATGTTTCTTAAGAAAAAACTTTATATTTTAACTGTTATTTTCAGTAATTAATCTCTGTACAGGTTTGGTAGATTTGACTGATCTCGCAACCACCTAAAATATTAGGAAATAAATATAAATTATGCCTCTTTCATTCTAGAATGAACACACATTATAACACGCAAACATAAATGTTTAGACTAAATAGCTTAAATCTCATATCATTATACATTTATATATATTTATTATTTTTATTATATTGACCTTTCACCCATGCTTGGCTCACAGTACAGAAGTTACAATGACACGGCTCATGTGCACTCATGTTACTGTATCAAATAACATAAAACTGACCTTTGGTCTGTGCAAAGTAACTTGTCTTGGCTGTGTTTTAGTAGACTAGAATTTTGTGAAATACAGTCACATTTCAATTATTATACATTATATATGTATATAGATTACTGCTATTTTGAAATAAGTTTTTATTAAACATATTTTTCCTAAAACATAGAACAGTAAATAAAAAAGTAAAGCAAACAATTATATCTCCTAGTTATGACCTTTGTACTTAGTTGCTGCTTGATGTTGGTTGCTAAGTCTTTAAAAGTTTTGCATGTAGAGGACATGAAACAAAATAATGTTTTTAGGTTTTATATATATATACACATTTGAATGACTAAAAAATCATAAAATACTACATTAATACATAGAATCCCACAATAATTTATAAAGCTTACTAAGATGTATTTTAGTCTAAAAAAATATGAAATTTCGAACAGACTAAAGACACACCCTACCTCATTTAAATATTGGTTCAAAAGAAAGAAATGGCGCCAAGTCAGTTAAAATGAGAAAGCCACTAGGGGGACATTCTGAGCTTCTAATTGGTTATTCATGTCATATATAGAAATAAGTGTATATAAGGGAGCATTTCCAAAAATGGAACGAGGTGGGCGGGGTGTCACTGTGTTTGATTTATTACATGTGCAATATCTCAGCAAATTGAAAAGATAAGAGACTCTTATTTTATATTCTAGCTTTTCAATATTGGTAATTTGATTTTCTAATTCTTTTGAAACTGTTAACTTGGTATTTTGACTTCACAAACATCTAGTTTGAACCAGTAATGCATTCAGTTGCTACTCATAAAACTGTTGCCATTGGTAACTGTGGTAATTCCCATCTAAAGTACAGTTTTTAATCCAGTTGTATACTCTTTTCAACTCTGAAATTAAAATTTTTTGCATTAGCTACACTTGCTTTATCATAAGAAAGCTTTTTATTTTGGCTTTTTTTTTTCTATGTATGTTTAAATCTTATGCATAAGCTAAACTGTTTTTTTTTCTTAGTTGATTGGTTCTTCCACAGAGTTTGGTTATTTTGGGGTTTTTGTTCTTTATGATTAGAAGTTTTTTCATTTTTACATAGGAAACTTTTATTTTCTTATTGAATTTGTACTTTTTATTATTTGATACTTACCATGGATATTCTGTGCAAAAATGCTTATGTACAATAAATCTTTATTCTAAATTCATTTTTGAGAATTAAAAATGAATTTGTCTAAATATTTTCTTTCTTTTTTTTTATTCTAGTCATACGAAGAAAAACACGTTATAATGGAGACCATTCAATGATTTTAAGTCATATGATGAAGGAAAGAAGCCTGAGAGCTAAAGAAGCCAAGCGTCGGCAGGTGGATATGAAGAGAGCAGAACAAGAAGCAGCTGTTCAAAAGGTGATAAACTGGGAATCAGAGCTGATCCAAGAACATATTAACACAATAAATGCTATGTGGGAGGTGGGTATTTTTAATTCCCATTTTGATATGTTTATAAGGCTTTTTTTCGAAGAGTAATTCTGAGTTTATCATTTGAAAGTCAAGTAACGACTGGTGTTTAAGGGCTTTAAAATTTCTGGTGTTTTAAGATTAGTAAAGTTTTTAACTTTAATATACATAAAAATAAGAATTATTTTCAAAAAGTAAGGGTCACAGAAATGAGATCAAATGGAAAATGTGTTGTGGTAGAAGAGAAAGATAATTTTATTTTATGTATTCTTTTATTTGTGGTTTTATAATAAATAAAGTTTTTTGTTTTTATCAACAGTTTAAGTTGTTTCACAACTTAATTGTTTAAATTATTTTGTTGATTCATGTTTGTACAGCAAATCTGTCTTTTGTTTACAGTACTACAAATTCCTTCTGAATATTTTGCAGGGTGGTTGACAAGATGTGAATAAAGTTTTACTGTGTGTTTATTCAAATACATATGAATGAAAGTGGTAGAGCACCATTAAAAAAGTTATGATTTTTGAGCTTGTGTAAGACTAAAATTCGGGTTAAAAGATGCAATATTTTTGGTTTAATCTGTACCCTTACAATAGTGCAGTTATGCATTGTAAAACAGATTTTTGTTGTCAGACAATAATAGTGAGATCTTAAGTTGCAGTAATTTCTTCTATCATTTTCTGATATATTATGTCTTTAATATTACATTGTACAATAAAAAAATAAGTTATTGTGAAAACCTGAAAATCTTAATTTTGTTTTTGTTACATGTTACATAAAAGTGTTTCAAGTTATGTTTGAAAATCTATAAGATTCTTCATTTTTACTTTTACAACTTTCCCATTTTGTTGTTGTGTTTGAATGTAATCACTCAGAAATTATGTTATGAAAATAGTGTTTTAGAAGTGTAGCTGTCAAAGAATCGAAGTAACTGAAACTGTATTCAGGCCTTTGGTGAAAAGATTTATAGGAAATGCACTGAATCATGTTAGAGTTTCAATTGGAAACACATTTTACCTCATAAATCATTATGTTTTCACAATAAAAGACAGATAAATAGCACGCAAAAATTATCCTGACTGTGATACTGAAAGAGTGATACCTTCGACCTTCTTACAAATATTACTGTGTGTGTGTGCATGCATTTGTTTATAATATTTTTATTATGTCCAAATAACTCGTGTACTTAAATTAATTCTTATTCCTTATTTCTGTGTATTGTATTAACAAGTTTTTTGTTGTTGTTTTTTTCAGTTGCCACAAATTGGTCATTTTCTGTATTTGACTCAAAGAATTCTGAACATTCCAGACGTCACACAGTATGAATTAGAACGTGCTTTTCTGATACCGCAAGCAAGTAGTTTAATGTGTGCTATTATGACAACATTACTAAGTAACCCCCAAGATCGTGCCAAGTAAGTTGTACACCATGTGATTTATTCTGTTATATATCGTACTTTATGAATTCGGGAAGTTTTAGTCTATATTATTGCATCATATTTATAGAAACTGAGTAACAAATCAAGATAGTTACTAAACGAAAATTATTTAGAATCACACAATACCAACGTCATTTACAAAATAACATGCAATAACTGCACAGAATTCTACAGGAAGAAAATTGGAAACCAGATTGACAGAACACAATAAAAAACCGTCCCATGTTTTTCACCATTG